GGGGGGGAGTGGGGAAGGGAGGGAAATGCACGGGACTATGGTGGTGGCACAGGGGTGATTTGGTGATGGGAAACCCGCGGGGATTACAATCGAGATGGAAAAAAAAATGTGCAAAATGATGTAAAAATAAACTTTGTAATAAAAAAATAAAGTGTTCCTTCATTGATGCTTGATAGAAATAGATTCAGGAGTGAGTTCTTACCGACTTTGGAGAGATTGCTGTCTCAGCCAGGAAGGCCAAAACCATGCTAGGTATTTCAAAGAGAGGTTTAATACAGGAGCTAGGTGCGAAGGCAAAAAACCAGGAAGGTGAGATCAAGCAGAGATTCCTACTCCAGGGAGCGGCTACTGCTCCCACCCCCAGCCCCTGTGTGCAGAGCAGAGGAGGAAGCGCGCTCCAGCACCGAGGGCTGGCGAAGGTTCTTCAGGAGTCCTGTTCAGAAGAGGAAAGGGGAGAGAGAATGAAAGCAAGCACAGCACCTTGTCCCTTCCTGCCCCTTGCTGATTTTCCCCAATGCCCTCTAGTGGCAGGATGCCATGCAGCCAGTGACGTACTCAGAGTCCCAGCTTGGGCATGGAGCTGAGTGACAACAGGTAAATACTTGGCACAAACAGCCATTCACTCGTTCTTGTGGGAGCCCTTGGAGAATCCCAAGAGAGGCTCAATTCCGAATCACACTGGCTTCTAATTAGGAGAGTCGGATAAGAGTGATCTTTCAGAGGTCAGTGTTTCTGGTGAGTAACACACACACGCACACAAATACACAATGTGATAAAACCATGCCGTATACTCTGCAGCCGGTCTTGGTGTGTTCTGGACATTGGAACGTGTGTGCATTTTGTAGATGAATAGATTTGCCACTGTGCAAGAGTGAGGTGATAGTTTAGGTGGAATGTTCCAGAAAGGTTGTTAAAAAATTGAAATCTATATACTATTTGGCAAAAAATACATAAATAAAAAAGAACAAAGTATTGCCCGTAGTTCTCCCAAAGGATCTGTGGCCAGCCTAGCTGTGGAAAGAGTGGGCCCTGGGCAGGATGCCCTTTCCCTGCCAGCTGCCGGCCAGCCCCCTAACACCCCCTCACCTCAAGTGTTCCACTGGCTAGAGCAGACCAAGACCTCCCCTGACCTATGCAGGGGGCAACAGGGCATGTGATTCCACCTGTCTGTGGACATTTGTGCGTCTTCCCCATGGACCTTGTATGCGGGCGCTTCGGCATTTTGAACGGCACCCTTAGGTGGCTATGTGTGTGTGCTTGCATGTTCACGCCTGCAGGAAAAGCCATCCACACGCAGGGATCTGGCAGATTGCTTTGCTATTTAAATAAGGAAAAACAGCTATAAGATCTGGATTCCATCAAATATTCAGGAAATTCTTCGGGTGCTTAGCACAACGCTTTTAAAATAAGTACTCGGATCTCTCTGTATCTTTAGATGGATTTAACTTAAAACAAAAAAGTGTTCTAGAATCTGGACTTCCTATGGGTTTAGGGGGAGTGTGTTATCAGCATGTTTTCCTGAGCCTACAGAGATGACCCCATTTTCTAGTTTGCCCTTATCGCATGCTCTGGCCTTTGGAGAGGGTCAGAGTGTTATTCCTCCACTTAGTCTGTAGCCCTTATGCTTATGCTTGGCATCCAGGGTAAGCCTCTCCAAGAAGAGATTCCAGAGTCTCCTAAATTTTATGATCTGGACTGTTAATCCTACAAAATGACACAAGAGTCCCAATAGTTCCCAAATGCCACTCAGCTGAAAAGCCAGGAGACGGAATTGATTGCAACTCATTAGCAGCTTGACCTAGATTTTCGTCAGCAGCTGCGAGACAAGAGGCTTTGGAACCCATTCTTGCCCCTTGTAGAGTGTGAATATTCTTTTGTCCTGAAGGTTACATTTGGCTTTAAAATATTCATGTGCTTTCATTCTTGCTGCTGTGCCCGTCACTAGTGGCCTTCCCTAGTGGCTGCTGAGTTTCATAGCTTTTTCTTACTCCAGGGCCTTTTGAACTATTGGAAGATTATCAAAGTATTGCCGTAGACTGGAACATTTTGGAAAGAGAGAGAAGGGGCGATTAAGCGCCCAAATTATCAGTACTCGAACACAGCAATACTTCCGTACCTGTGGGCTGCTCTTTCTCTTTTTGTAGAGCAGGAATTGATGCTTATATGTCATTTTGACAACCGAGTTAAGCACATAACGCATTGTTTTGTCCGTGTCTTCCGTAACCTTCATTGCCATTATTTTAACATCGCCATAATATTAAGTCAACTGTACTGTGGTTTACTTAATCACTCCTCTCCTCCCACCTGCAATTCTTACCTTCTTCTCCTCCTGGAAGTCTTCTGGTGAATCACTTGTTTTCTGATTAGAACTGGTTAAAATAACGTGGAAATAGGAGCCTTGTGATGTGGACCCTGAGGTTTTGCCTAGTTCCACGATCTCTTAAGCTCTGACGACCATCTAGCATGTGGGGATAGCAGTGGCTCCCGTCTGCCCCCAACACCTAACCTGTCTCAGAGGAAAAAGTGAAATTTGTCCCCTTATTACCTGTGATTTCCATTAAAAAATGGGATAGATATTTTAAACTAACAATATTCTCCAGTTTATAGCTGAAACCATTTCTAAGTTGTCCTTTTAAACAGAGGCAAGTTGTGGTTTCTTGCCTTGCAGTTTTGCGCCTCATAATTACCTTCATGGCTGTGCTAGTTCCTCATTTATTTCAAATATTTTTAGACTTGGGCCTTTTCTTCCTTAGGAAATATTTGGATGGTTTTCTATTTAATGTGTGTAAATTCACTTGAATGTCAAACTTTTATTTCTTTCAAATGGAACAGGAAATGATCATGATGAACAAGCTTTTCTGAAAAGAACAGCGGACCTGACTTGATATTACACACACATAAAAGTTGTTACTTTTGAAGGACATTCCTTCGGGATAATAACCCAAATGTGCTATGAACCTAAGAACATCCCTGAACTTTCTGTTAACTCAAGAATCCACTATGTCTGTTTCTCTTTCAGTGGATAACACTGTCGCAAGCTATCAACTTCCTGTTTTCCCAGGCAAGGTGTAATCTGTGATTTGCCTCTGTAATTTCATTAATTTTTAGCGACCAGAACATTTTTGAGTATGACTAGATAATTTCTGTTAATAACTGAATTATTGCAGCGACTCCATTGTGCTTAGGGTGGAGAAGTCTCTGACTCGCTTTCATTTTTTTCCTTCATGAACAAATGCCGATGACAGTAAATTGGATTTTAACGTTTGACTAAATCATTATCTATAAGCTAAATGAGGTTTCAGCTGACCAAACTGAGTGTTATTAGAAGAACCTATGTGACAAATAAATTAGGTGCACATTTAGAAAAGATCAAGGACTCATGTAGGCCAAGAAATTTCCAGCCTAAGATAATATGTTCTGTGAAGGTTAAAATAGGTTTTTCAATTATAAAGCAAATGAAACGCATTGCAAATGACTGCAGATTTTCTTGTGTGTGTTTGTGTGTGTGTGTGTTTTAAAAACTGTGATCCAGAAATGACCATATTGATTTTTGAGGTTTTTATTTTAAAAGAAAATAACTAAGATTAAATTTCATGGCTTTGTGAGTCCTGGGTTAAACTGTGAGGGCTGAGATGCTGTGAGAAGCGTCCCGGGGGTGCTCATTTGTCCACCGGTCTTTTCATAGTCATTTTTTTCCCCCTGCACTTAGGACAATGATGATTGTGGTTTGTTTTATTTAGATGAAGTTTTCCGAATCCGACTACTTTGGCAACGTCCTGCAAACCCGCAAGTATTTAGCGCAGTCGGATTTCTTCTGGCTGAGAAAAGCTGTTCCTAAAACAGAGTGAGTACAATGAAAGACCAAAGTGAAGGAGAGAACTGTGTTGGTAGGAAGTGGGGTCTCTTTAGATCAAATGTGATTAAATTCCCTCAAGTCAGAGTAGCTGGCACCGCAAATATCTTGATTTGGTAAAATCTGTGTCATATTTTGATGCCTCTTGTTTCTGCCAGTATCTGAAGCAGTTTTTTACTCTCATGATGGCTTATGCCCTTCCTAGCATGAAAACCTGCCCCCCAAAAGTTGCTTAGGATGCAACTGGGAAGATCCTCTCTAGACCTAGATCTAGAGCAAGATCAACATGTCTGTCTGTCTGTCTGTCTATCTATATTTACCTACCTACGTACCTACCTACCTACCTCACAACTTTCTCTAGAATTTCACACTGATACAATTTTGAAGCTCTTTAAAAAGAGCGAGTATTTTAAAAGTAAAGTATGCTGGCAAAGGCAGCAGTAGTTAATTATCTATTTGTGAAGCGTATCTGGTGGGTTGTGAGCGTCAAGGACCGACAGCTCTGTTCCATTCCTTCTGTAGCAGTCGTGATTTCTTTACGTTCTCCCTAGCTGCCAACAGGGACTTTCCTTGTAGGTTGAAGAGTTTCCCCAGGAATTTGAGCGCTGGGTCAGCCGTGAGTTCTTTCCCCTGCAAAAGCATTCAGGGTGAGGATGACAGCAGGCGAGCACGATCACCTGCCTACAATGTGCCAGGAAGTGCTTTGTCTGTCTCCATTTCTCCCAACTGAGATGTTCTTAAACTCAGGTTGAGATTAATTTTTGTTCTGTCTGTTGGTACTTTTGACTCTGCTCTGCTGTGATCCACTTCTCCAAGGGTTTTTCTTTCTTTTTGTTCTCATCCTGGATCATTTCCCTTTCTCTTCAGATTCAGGGACCCTCTCTTCTGCATTCTCAAATTTGCTATTGATCCATGCAACAAATCTCTCATTTTGATTTTCAGCTCCAGAGTTTCCATTTGGTTGATCTTTAGTTTTTCTCTGTTGTGATTCTTTATTTGTTGAGTCATCATTGTCGTATTTTCCACGAATTCTTTGAATGTAGTTTATTTATTTTAATTAATTGAACTGATGTATAATGGCTGCTTTCTTTGCCAAACCCTACATCTGGGCTCACTCAGAGACAGCTTTTACTGGGTGCTTCTTCTTTTAAACACTTTTTCTTTGTGTAGCATATTTTTGTTTTTGAAAGTGACATTTTAGTTAATAGAGAAGCTATGGATTCTGATGTATTTCTGAGATTTTTCCAAAAAGTAACTTTTCTGTAGATTCTGTCCCCCCCCCGCATTTTAAAAATTCTCTTTCAATGTAGCCTTATTTATTGAAACAACATTGCATTATAACATTATAAAAGTTTTAAGGGTTCATCATTGAGAATCAACCTGAATATATAATACATCAAGTTCTCTGCTAAAAGTTTATTCTTCACAATACACTTTTCCCCTCTTTTCCTAATTTCCCCACTCCCTACCTTTCTGGTAACTATCTTATAGACCAGAAATTTTAACTCTCATTTTTATTTTTAGTCTCACTTCTGGCTGACAGGGCTGTGGGTTTTCACCCCCGTCCCTGGCTGAGGTCACCCCTTGTGGCAGCAAACATGCTGATTTCCAGTGGGTCCTCCTGACAAAGCTGAGCTCTACCTGACAGAGCTGGGAGGAGAGGGATGGTCCCAGGCAAGAAAGCCGTGGACTTCCTGTCCTGCTGACTTTCATACCCAGCAGTTTTTCAGATTTAAGTGCTTTTTAATTTGTTGGTCACCTTCCTCACTTCCCAGAACCTGGAGGTGGTTGTTTACAGTTTTGTACAGTTTTATACTTGATTTCTGTGGAAAAGGTTTGTTGACCTTTTCCTATCCTCCTACTTAGAAACTTGGCTTGCCTGGCCTACTTTATTTCTACATGCTTCACTTTAAAAAAAAATATTTATTTATGCATGCAGACCTGGGGTACAAGCCCATAGTTGTGGGGGATGAGAGGATTCACTAGAGACAGAGTGGGGAGCAGAACACGCAGATGGACCGAAGCACACTGCTGAGGGGAGCTGCGGGCGAGACAGGAGAGGTCTGCTGCGCCACGTGGGTCACCTCCGGGGCCGGGACTGGTGCCGTGCTGACTGTGACAGCCTCACAGTGCTGTGCTTTAACCCGTTGCGCCACCAGAGAGGGGCCTCATGCTTTAACCTTGGCTAAAACTTTGGTTTCCAGGTCTTTGACTGGCTCCTTAACGCTCTCCTGGTCTCTTGTTATTCTCCCTTCTAACTTCCTGCTGTGCCTGGGCCTCCAGGAACTCCAGACCTGGCAACCCTCTTAGACTTCAGCTGTGATTAGCATCCTTCCCTCACAACCGGGACTCCTCACACTCCCCTGCTCTCTCCCCTCCGAACCTTCCTACAGTGCAATCCATAAGCTTGTTAAAAGCATTTGACTTTAAGGACTGGGTCTGAAAGGAGCCACTCCCCTGCCCGTCCTCCATCCCAATCAAAAAACACAAAGGAAGAAAGCAGAAGGTTTTAGAGCTTCTTTGAAAGTGACAGACAACTGGTTCAAAGCCATCTGCTCTGCGCTTCCTGGTTCTCTCGCCACGGTCTCTTACTCTACATATTTGGCTTCATCCCCAACCTAAACTATTCAATAGAAATTTTAGATTTAGGGCCAAAAAGTAACTTCTGAAATCGATTGGCTGTAACGGGTGCTTTCCCTGAGTGCCCGCACACAGTCTGGGAGTCACAGGTAAATCATCCTGTCCTCTAAGATCGACTTGTGATCTGGTGGAAAATTCCAGGTGATCCAGGGTATTTTTGTGAATTTGCAGGGTCTTCCAGGGATTCCTCCATATCAGAGATACTGCCAGATTAATTCTTCAATTTCAAAATATCGTTAATCCTTTGGGTGTAGTGAGGTGAATTGAGAATCTCCTACATGTGTCATCTCTAGCATCCTAAATACGGTGGGCTCTCAGATCCTAGTAGTCTTGACTGTTTCTAATATTTTCTTCATGCCTTGGAAAATGTTGGCTGGCTTTGTGGGCTTAGGCAAACTATGATTTGTGTAGTTTTCTTCTTGGTCGAGGAAAACAAATACCTCTTTCACAAGGACTTTAAGTTGGTGAATGTTTCTGGAAAACTTCCCCAGGAATAGAAACCAGTGCAGTGCTAGTGATTCTTGTTCCCTCAGCCTAAATGTTGATTTTAGGAAAAGCAATTAAGAAATTTTAGACACTCTTGGCATGGCAAAATTCTTTTTTTTAAAGATTTATTTATTTATACAGAACTGGGGTACAGGCCAGAGATGCGGAGGGTGAGAGGCTTCATCAGAGACAGAGTGGGGAGCAGAACAGGCAGATAGATGAAGTGCACTGCTGAGGGGAGCAGCGGGCGGGTCAGGAGAGGTCTGCCACGCCATGTGGTCACCTCCGGGGCAGGCGGGGATCGAACTCATGCGGAAGTGGCTTAAGCTTCTTAGGGCTGTGCTTTAACCCGCTGCACCACCAGGGAGGCCCCCCCCCCCATTTTTTTTAAAAGGAATTTCTGGCTGGCCCTTTTCAGGCACTGTGGGGAATGTCAGCTTCATGATACACATTGGATTTAATTGACATCCTTTGGGTCTGAGAACTTATGAGTTAATCGAGTGGGAATGGTCTGGAGTAGCTCTACTATACTAGTTTACTTTGAACAGCACATCATGATTATATTTGCACAAAGCCCTGAAATAACATTTTGCTTCTTTGTGGTTAGAGGAGATAAATACCCTTTATCTTTCATTCTCATGGAATCCATTTCAGCCGCACTAATGTGCACTAAGAACTTTCTAACACGATGGGAAATGTCAGCAAGAATGAAATTAATTGGGTGGTCATCCCTGAAGGTACGTATTTAGGGATTGGTTCTCAGAAGTGTCACTTCAACAGCTTGCTTAAAAACGGAGGATTTACTTCACTGCTCGGCTTGAGTCAAAAGTAATTTCTTTCCCTCAGGACCCCCTTTCTTTGACAGAAATGATTTTAAGCCAGCTTCCCTATTAACTCATTCTCATTCTACCATGACAAACATGTCTGGATTTTCTTCTCCGTCTTTTAAAAAATATGTAAAAATTCATCAAATGTCTACACAAAGGATGCCCCTGCCCAGAGATTTTGTTTGCAAAAGCATCAGCTTTAGCATGGAATGGAATTGATACACAGGGTATTGGAATCAAAGCTATCACTACTCTGTTTCTTCCCATCCATGTTCCCTAGATGATCTTTAAAATTTGATAGGTAGAAAGTGAAAGTGTAGTCAGCTGTCTATGTTTGTAGTATTCCAGCATGACACTCCTTTTACACATCCCATTGTTCAGTTTCATCCCCATGTTCTGGAAATTTATATGAGACTTCTTACCTCATCTACTAAATCATCCCTGAGAGAATGCCCTGAAGACAGATGAAGGAGAATTTACAGCACTGGTGTGATGCGCTTTCTTTATTCGAGCTGATGTGCACATAACGATAAACACATTTTAATTGGTCGAGTGGCCTTTGCTTGGCGCATCCCACTTGGCCAGTAGTCTCAGCCCATACAACACTTACCATCTTGTCAGGTGATATGAATTGTGCCAGCTTCTGTGCCTTCTGGGTCCAATCAGTTAATAAATGGGGCCATAAATAAGTGTAAAAATGATAGGAGTCGGAAAGACTTTGGGGGTTGGTGATGGCACACCTCATTAAAAGGCATTCCAAGTCAGCATATTTTTAAACCATTGTGTTGGGCGAGCAATATTTTTCTGGAAAAATTCAGCCTTCTGGGTGGGATCTAGTCTGTGGTCAGCTGGCTTTTCAGCGTTTGAGTGATCTACTGCTGTGTATCAAAGCACCTCCAAGTTTAGAGGGTTAAACAACAGAATTACTCACTGTTGTCTCTGTGGTTCTGGGGTCACGAGGCTCAGCTGTGGTGCTTGCTCATGGTCTTCATGTCGTCACCATCAGTAATGGCTGGGGCTGGAGGTGCACGGCATGGCCGATGGTTGATGTGTGGTGTTGACTGGAAGGCCTGCTGCAGCCTCTCCATGTGAACTGGATACCTCTGTCGTATGATGGCTGAGCAAGAAACTCCAAAGTTAGTTTCCCGGGAAAGAGAAAGGGTGGGAGGGTGCAAGCATGCACACCAGGTGGGGTGGTATCACCCCTAATTGCATAATGTTGCAAGTGACGTGGTGTCATTTCCACTACATTTTATGCTTTACAAGTGAGTCACTAAGGCTAACAGGTGATCAAGAGCAAAAAAATTTAGACTCCATCTCTTAATGGAAGGAGTATAAAAAATTTGCAAATGCATATTCAAATCAGCACATGTAGTAGTCTTGTATTAAAGAACATTAAAACTAAGTAAATAATAAACTTGCATCTAACCAGGGAAGTAGGCAAAATAGTTAACTGCTGATGGCCCGGGCACTGACCAGTAAGAAGAAACAGTGTCCACAAGTGGAAGGACCTACTGGCTCAACCACTTCATATCAACTCGGAGTGTAGTCAAGGCTGCAGATGTGCCCTCGAATCGGCCAGAGCGCTGGAAAACCAGGAAAGGCAAGGTCACGTGTCCAAAAGAGGGGTCCGGGTATTGTTGCTTCAAGGCTCTATCTGGCTATTCATTTTGTCTACTTTTGTCCATCAGCAGTTAGAAACGTCTTTTTTTTTTTTTTTTTTTGCCCTCATGTTTGGAAAGTTCATTCTTTGCTAAAAGGAGGGGATTCCGGAGGGAAAGGGGGAGAAGGGAGGCGCTGTGGGCGTACACACGCTCTTCTGTCTGTATTACGGCTCAGCATGTCATGCAGAGGCACCCAAATTCTTCCCTGGACCCAAACAGACAGACAAAAGCTGGGGTTTTGGGCAGTGCACTGTTATCTGTTGCTGCTGTAACAAAGCCACTGGAACTGTAGCCACTTGGAGCAACATGTATCATCTCACTGTCTGCAGCGAGACCCTGTCCTGTGGCCTGGCTGCTTTCTGCTTTCTGGGTTTCAGAGCTAGAGGCCTCTCTCCTGTCCTTGTACTTGACTCCTGCCTAATAGAACCAGCAACAATGTGTCCAGTCCTTCTTACCCTTGGGATCACTCTGATTTTCCTTCTGCAGCAGCTCTTCTGATTTCCTCCTTTGTAGCATCTCTCAGCTTCCAGCCCGAGAAGGTTCTGTGCTCGTAAGGACGATGTGATTAATTTGGGCTCACCTCGATAAACCAGGGAACTCTCCTACTTTCAAGATCCATAATGTTAACTACATGTGCTAAATCCTTTCTGCCTTGTAATTTTTTGGAGCTGGGCATCAGGATGAGGTCATCTTTGGGGGGAGAGGAGGCTATGATTCCAGCTACTGTAAGTAGCAGTATGAGGACAGTAAAGGCACTCGACTCCTTCCACAGGAAAGTAGACTTGCCAGTGAGTTCATATTAGACATTAGGGTCTATCTATTGAAATACTAGCCCTGAAATTGGAGAAAAGAATATATATTTTATGGAAATGCATTAGATTTCAATTCTGTGTGTTAATTTCCAATATAATGTACTGCTTAAGAGGAGACATTGTGCAAGTATCTAATGCTTATAAGTCTCATTGTCCTCATCTGTGAAGTGGGTTCATCATTGCTATGGGGGGAAAAACCCCCCCTTTGTTTAGAAAAATACTTAGCATTGCTACTTAAATTAAAAAAGAAAGTACGTAGAACATAGATTCTTCACAGAGAATCAGAGAATGTCAGCTACTACTACTAGTAATGATAATTATTATCTAGTGGACCAAGTAGAGTCAACACTTGTATTTCCTACCGGTTTCCTATTAGTCCAACACAATTTGGTAACTTGGCATAATGATTCTATTAGACATAAATTAGTAAAATAATTGCTCTGAAGGAGGAATTTACATAAGTCTATTTTAAGAGGTCTAGCTTAAGGCAATGACTGGATTTTAATGAAGGCATTGTAGGGAATTTTAGCTTCACGATTCACATTGATTTTAATCATAAAGGGCAGTGGCTGAAACTCATCCCTATTTAAGCCTGGGATTGGCAGAGGATGGCTTGTGGGCTCAGTTCTGTCTGCTGCTTGTTTTTGTACAGCCCGTGAGCTAAGGATGATTCTTTAGAGATAAATGGTTTTAGTCGATTTGATGCTGAGAAGCACTAACATTGAACCCAAATTAAGCAAATGTTATCCTGCCTCCAATGAATTCTATTCTTCTCATGACTGTGCCTGAATTACAACAAATTGTCCTCCATTATTATATTTAAAAATTTTGTCAATAAAAATTTGTGAAACATTTTCTCTCACTATAGAAGTACCATATAAAACGGCCTGTGATTTGCCTCATTGGCAACATGCCACCATGTTTACCATCTGATTCTTTACAGAAAACAAAAGTCTGCCAAATGTGGATCTAAGTGACCTACTGTGCATTTACAGTGGGGGGTAGCTGGCAGGCACTCGCAGGATCTCTTAACTCGATGCCTCAATGTCACCGCTAAGGCTGAACCCCAGGAAGTAGTGACTGCTCCAACGCACCCCAGCTAGCGAGATAGAGGAGACCCTTCGTGACTTATCAGTAACTTTCCTGGAGAGCGGCTGACCCTCTGCCCAGCTTGCTTTCCATGGCGGGTCAGAGGAGATGCAGCAGAGACACCCAGCTGTCCCGTGGCCCCATCACACAGGGCTTGGCACACATCGGGTTATTCTGTGTTTCCAGCTGTGGGGAGAGCCTGTCAGAGGCTAGAATTTCTCGTTAAAGCTGCTTTAGAAGCTCTGGTACTGGCTTTTCCCATTAAGTGAATAATGGGGAATAACCAGGCACATTCATATATCCTCAATGAACCATGTTCGATTGAGGATGAGATAGTTCATTGAGTAGAGCAATGGCCCTAAACGGAGGCGCTCACCCCCCAGCACCCACGCCCCACTGTCCCCTGCTTATGGGCTCAGACATGCCACCACGTGGTGTTGGTTCCTGCTGCTCTCCTGCCTGGACACTGATGAAGCCTTGGCGGTATTTGTTTCTTCTTCTGCAGGTGGTTTACAAACCCGACAACCGTCAACGCCTTCTACAGTGCCACCACCAACCAGATCCGTGAGTAACCGGTTTCTTGTCTCCTTGCTAATGTCGTGCCAGATGGAGGAAACTTTTCATGACTATGATGGAGGGCGTGGCACACTTTAGTCTGCCTGCCCCCGAGGTGACTGCACATGTTACTGAGGGACGCATAGGCCTGGTTTTCCTGACTCCCTTCACCTCCTAAGTTATTCTGAGTTTTTTTTTTTTTTTAAGATTTATTTATTTGTACATACACAGAACTGGGGTACAGGCCAGAGGCTCAGGGGCGGTGAGAGGCTTCACCAGAGACAGAGTGGGGAGCAGAACAGGCAGATGGACGAAGGACACTGCTGAGGGGAGCAGCGGGCGGGTCAGGAGAGGTCTGCCACGCCATGTGGTCTCCTCCGGGGCAGGCGGGAATCGAACTCATGCGGAAGTGGCTTTAGTTTCTCAGTGCTGTGTTTTAACCCGCTGCGCCACCAGGGAGGGCCTCAACATTGAGTTTTAAAAAGTCAAGCGTGACAAAGAAATCTACGGTGAAGCTGGCCGTGGAAAGGAGCTAACTTCCACTTTCCTGGCACTCTTTCTGATTTTGTCATCGCCGTTTTGCTCGTTTTCAGGATCTAAGGGAAAAATAAGCAGGTGGCTGGGCAGATTGTCAGACCCGTATCTAGATGGAAACAATACTGTCCTTGGAACCTTATCAAAAAGGCCGATTCTCGGGGCACACCTTAGATTATTACGCACAAACCCCGGCCGTGGAGCTCAGGACCTGGTTTCTGTAAGCCTCCAGATGACTTAGCATAGTTGAGAACCACTGACCTAGGGTCTCACTCAGGAGGCCCCGGGGAGATTATGCGCACAGTGTTGTTGGTAATGGAGGTGGGACAACCAGTCTCCAGGGAAAGGACTTGGAGATGGTGTGCCACACTGAGGGATGTCGGACAGGAGGGGACAGCGACCGAGCGCGACATATATTCACATGGCTGAATTTTACAACTATTAGTTTGTGTAGAGAAAGAAACAACTTGGAAAAATAGGTTGATGGTCACACCTTCTGAAGTTGTGTCTGAAGTTACGTCCATCCATAGATGGACAAGCGTGACAGATGCCAAGTTTAGGTTGGCGGTGACCAGTTGTGGGCAGGGCAGGCTACTCCTGCTTGTGCCTTGGCTGGTTTCTCCTCAGCCGGCCCCTGTTCTTCACTGGCCTCCGATTTCATTTCCTCACCTGATGAATAACAACTAAGCTTATGCTTTAATCATCTCTCTAGATTGTTCGTAGAATGTCGGATGCAATTTCCAAAGCCTTGCTGTTTCTGACTGTGTTTCCCAATAGCTGTATGACTTCCCAGCGCTAACCTTATCCCCCTTCAGTTTATCCTACACATAGCGTTGCAGCCATTTTAAGATGTTTTACCATCGTTCCCCGTCACCTCTTCACTAGGAACCACTTAGAGCTTCCCTTCTCACCCAGAATAGAAGCCGATTTAGTTGCTGGGGCCCAGCGGCCTCTTTCTGCTCTGCCTGCATGGCCTTTGGTTCCACAGGCCTCGTCCCAGTCCTGCTGCACGAGAATGTCCCTCTGAGCACTCACGGTGGGGAAAGGGGTTCTCTTGGTTTTGGAAGACTTCCCCACAGTGATCTGCATGGCTCACTCTCCCACTTCCTGCAAACTTTTTCTTCAACTGCCTTCACAGTGGGGCGCCATGCCTGCCCTCTAGCCTGGGTCTGGCCTACCAGCAGCCCTCGGTCCCACCACTGGCCCCGGTGGTCCCCGGGCTGGCTTAAAGTCAGTGATGGCGTGTTTGCTTAGAATTGTGCGGCCGCTGGTAAGAGTGGCGGTCACTGCAGGGCTTTGGTCTCAGAGTGAGAAAAATTAGCAGATGGTGGTATGTTTTCAGCTCTCTGTTAATTCATACAACCCATTCAATTGTTAAAATTTTGAGTATTTCCGGCCCTCCCTGGTGGCGCAGCCGGTTAAAGCACAGCACTGAGAAGCTAAAGCCACTTCCACGTGAGTTCGATTCCCGCCTGCCCCGGAGGTGACCACATGGCGAGGCAGACCTCTCCTG